GCAGAGCAGGAGACACCTAAAGAGGGAAACTTGAACCAGATTGGACGGCCACCACATATAAGGGGAATCAACAAGGAACTTCCTGAAGATTCCAGCCCATCCATATCCTAACAGCTGAAGGTTTCAGCAATTGTTTTATCAAGCATATCGAGGCATTAATCAATAATCTTTAAGCAGTCACCAGGAAATATTTCGGCACTTTGTTTTCATCACATGCTATCAAGTTTGGAAAGACTCACCTGCGTCGTCTGCGACAAAAACATAGCCGGTACTGCATCTATTCTACCATGATAAAATGCCTTGACAATGGTGATAATACCCACTGCATAGACTGGATTTGATCCAGAATTTGCAAATATTGTGATCAGGACATGTTCTTTTAAGTTGAAAGGCCCTGGATTCAAAGAAAATGACCATTTCGTTCCTGGAAAACGGATAACTTTGTGTGGTAAAATTGCTGCCATGAGCCTCCCTACTGGCAGCACTACAATCTGAGCTGAAACTGATGTTACAGAGAGTATATTTTGACGGTAACCGAAGAACTGATTAGCAAATGCCAGAAGAGCACAACTTGTGATCCCCAAGATCCATGTTCGAAACGTCAAGCATGGTAATGTTGGATCATCTGTAATCGGAACTGTGAGCCTGACTTGCTCGATTGGCGTATCGTTTGCCTCTTCTGCAGAAAATTTTGTTTTAATAAACAGAGGAGTCATCAATCCTTCATCAGAGACTGCCATTATTAGAAAATCATGCATTAGACTGTTCAGAATTAAGAGTTGTCATTCAGGCAGTGATTTTGTGGCAGCTCTACTCTGCAATCCTTAGCAAGTGCAACTTAAAGTGATGAATTAGACTGTTATAATTAACCTGAATTAGCAGTGAAAAGTGAGTGAGTAGACTGGATTACCTTTCTCATCAAGCACCTCGACCTTGTTTGAAAGAGAAATCCCTTTACCATTAGTCTCTGCGTGCTCCATTCTTCTATGCCTGAACTACCTGAACTGGATCTGGGGATTCTTCCAAGTTCAACAACACAAGTTTTCAGTATATATGGTTCATTAGCCTCAAGTTTGTAGTCATTTTTTGGCTTCATGTTATCTCTTTGTTTCCATGATGAGACACAAAGAAAATCCAAACAGAGAAAGTTAAATTTGATTCTTGGAACCTCTTATATATAGTCGGCGGCAAGAATCATTCAACATTCCATTTCCCATTTAACAAGGGATGGACAATTATTGTCGAAGGGTATAAGCAGAGAAATGATGAGCTATTTTCGATGGTGAAACATAAGAAAAGAAGATGCCGCACCAATGTTTCATTTTCCAACCTTAGATTTATTCATAATAATTTGTTTTCTTTCTTTGAGTTTAGCAAGTTGCTATCAAGCATAACGTCAAACAACATTCTGCAACATAATTCCAAACCAGCTTTATGTCCCCACAAACCCGCTAGTAAGTACCAAGTGTTTGCTACTTCTTATCTTATCCTACCCTATCCCGATCTCCTCAAGTAGTTTAACTCATGTGTAGGCTGCAACGCCGCAGTGAAAATTAAGGCCCCGTATAAGAGCAGTGCTACTTCTTGCTCATAATGCAATCAATCTGCTCATGTCATTTGGTAGGTTACCCGCCATGCCTTGTTTATGCCGAGACATTATTTTCAACACACACTAGCATTGTCCATAAGAAAGCTCACCTCTTTGACATTGTTTGGTGAGAAGAAAACAGTTGGTGATTCAATGTCAAGAAATGGAATCTATATATATTGTTGAAGCCGGCATACAACCTACTCTTCTAGCAGTCATAGTTATCATCGATCTACCATCATATACTATACACAGCTCGAGACCTTCATTCGAGGCATGTAATTGACGGCAAGATTAGTAAATGTACAATCCATGTAGAAACAATAATATTGCTCTTGCAAGCTATTTTTAGATGCTAAAGAGAACCATCACACACGAAGCTCCACCAAATTTTGGACACCATGGTTGAGAAAGGTAAATGGTTGGGTAGGCTGTTCATGTCGTGCAAAAGTTGCTGTTACTCAACGTTTTGAGTTGTGTCTGGATTGAAGGGACAAGAAGAGGTGACAAAGAAATCAATGACTTGATGTATGGATGGTGTTGGAATCTTTAAAAATGATGCCGTCTAGGTTGCTTTGAAGTCCCATCTCAACCTCGTTTTCATGTGATGTGCATCTACCATCACAATTTCTCATGTATTTTGATGCGTCACTGCAAGCTACATATATATACCAATATATACCATGCAGTTTAGTAGAACTAGTTTTGCCCTATCCTACCTTATCAGGTAAGAGAAGATTAAAAATCATCATCATCAAACTTTTCTTATTTAATGGGTTTTATTATATTTTTTTATTATTTATTTTTGTTTATATTAATTGGTATCAAAATCTAATAATTTTAAGTAATTATTTTATTTAATTATATGATACAAACAAATATAATTTAAAAAAATTATAGAACAGGATGTGTTTATGTGTGAGAGATTTTTAAAATCTAGCGTGTTGTATTATTTTCACATGCATTAATTGTTATTTTTCAAAATCTTAAGATGTGACAACTCATATAAAGATATTATGTTAAAAATCTACAATAAAGTAATTCATATAAAAGTGTTATGTTATAAACTCATGATGAGATGACCTGAATCAAGGTTCGAAAAACCGTTAGTAGGATGACTTATGCATAAAATGATATTTTTAATGAACTACAGTTTTTAATTAAAAACTAAACTCGGGATAAGTCTTTTCAAACTTGAGGAAACTGATGTAAGAGCTTGTTTAGAAAATTAGATATTTTTTTTATTATTTATTACAATGTTTTTCTACTTTTTTTTCTACTTGAAGAGAATATTTTTTCTAAATTGTTTTTTTATTCAATATTATTAGGGTGTCATTAATTAGACTTTAAAATGATTCAATAAAAAAAAAGATTGATGATGAAATTAAAAAAAAAATTAGGGAGGGGTCCTTGTCCATTTGAGCAAGAAATAGAAAATACCCGACTTCTTTTATTTTATTTTATATATTTCAAACTATTTAAACTTATATAAAAATTATTTTTTTTAAACAAGTTATATATCGATGTAGAAGTAAAGATAAAGTGATATACATAAAAAATACTTCAAATCATCCAATCAAGGAAATAAATTGTCAACCATCTTATTTGTTATTTTCAGCCGGCCTAAGAGCAACTCAATACTGATACAAAAATAAATGTTCAGGGAAAGATTCTTCAATTTATTCATGCAAGACATGGCAGGCTAGCAGCCATGTGAGGAGGCGACCATCGATCACACACAGAAACCAGACAAGAGATTATGTTGATGATGAGCCAGCCTAGTCCCAGTGTGTTTTAATTTTTGGAAACTGTGAGTGGGACAGTGTTTAATTTCCTGGTCGGAACAAAAACTGAAATAGTGCAAGGCAAAACATGCTTAAGTTGCTACAAACTGGATGGATTGAAGTTGAAGGACTGTCTGCCTCAAAAAATGGTGTCATGGTGAAGCACTGTCTTCAGGAATCGTCCAGCATAAACCCTTCTTCTAGCTGCAAACAGGACAGCAAGCTTGTGCTTTGATCCTACATCTAGAATTGTTATGGGCCCTAGCTAGTTGTTCAAGCTTCTAGCAAACATGGATCTATGTCAGGTTTGCCTAGTACATACCCACAAGTTAAGGTTCAATTCACAAGCGGGCAATGGTACATGAGAGTTTTTGAAATTTCCATCGTTTTTATAGTAAAAAATGACTGTTTGCAAACCAGCCATTGAAATACCTTGAGGTGCCTGACACAGGCATGCTAACACCACCATGTACGTTGAAGGTTTTTGATCTACGGAGATGGTTTCTCTTCTTCTCCTTTTATTATTATTATTATTATTATTTTTTGTGAAAGTGTTTAGGAATGTAGTAGTTTTTGTTTTTTATATATTTTAAACGTGTGTTTGAGTTGAAAAAAATAGTAAATTAATATTTTTTTTATTTTTTTATGTTTTTAATATATTGATATTAAAACTAAAACAAAATTTAAAAAAAATATTTTAATATATTTTCAAGTAAAAAATATTATACATCATAATAACAAATATACACTAACTTATGTTAGTCAAATTTAAATAATTTAATTGATAAAATCAAGTCACAAAGTTGGACCCTAGCTCATGTCTTGTGTTGAAGAGAAATCAAGTTAAAATTAATAAGATTTTATTTTATTTTAAAAAATTAACTTAAAAAAATTAAAACTATATTTTTTCATTTGATTTGAATCAACTCTATTTATTTTGTCTAATTCGTTACTCAATCTTACTGATCACCTAAGGTTGGGATATATATTTTCTTTTTACCCAATCATTAAAGAAAAAGAAATGGCTTTTTTTATATATTATTTTTCAGATATACAAACAATGCCCTAGCCTTTATATCATTTCAATGGAAAGAAGGTATCAAACATTAAAAAAAAAAAAAAAACCAAACTTGTTCTACTGGTGACCCAACTCGAACCTCCCATGATAATGGATGGGACTAGCCGGGAAGTTCTCTCCAAGTGTTTTTTTTTTTTTTTAATGAACAAATAAATTGTGGTTGATTTGGTAGAATAATAACAAATAAACTAAAGAGAAAACCTTCACAGCTTGGTAGAGTTTGATTTTTTTAAAAATAGAATAATTTTAACTTAAAAAAATAAAATAATTTTTTTAATTGATTTAAATCAATTTAATTTATTTTTTCCAACTCATAACCCAAACTCGGGTTACAAGCTGAGCCGAGTTTCACTGCCATGGGCAAACTAAGCAGTTATATTTAAGGGCCCATGGGCTATTCTCAAATGTGTTTTTGCACATTATGATTAGAGAGATCAACGATTTGTCAGAATTAAACTCTATGTATATAACAGGGCCCACCTAATTTTGGAAATATGGGCTTCTTAGCTTACGCTATGGGCCCAATAGGCTTTGCTGTCATCTTCATTGATCATCTGTATGATGGTGATTGGTGTGGTCTCCTCTTAACCCTCTCAAGGTCCCTTCTCGCAAACCCTCTTTCGTCATCTTTCCTATGCCCACCACACCGTCCCTCCCCTGTGCCCTCTTGTTCTGTAATTATTTTTAGTTTTTTCATGAGATGTCCGTATTCATGTCAACTTGGCCACCAATCCACATGTATTTATGCTATTTCCATTTTAAATTCAAGTGATTAGCGCTTCCTAACAAGAACAAGGAGATTATTGATTCCGTGATGCAGTATTAAAGGTTCTCTTTCAGGGTATTAATTTCAGACAGAAAAAACAAAAACACGTTAAATTGATTTTGTTATTTTAATATTTATGATAGTTTCGGCGCATATTTAACTATATATATTTTCCTGGGTTTAACCCTGACGAGATTCGACAACTATACATGCTGTATATATTGCTCATGCTTGGAATTGAGTGAGCACATCAAACGGCGAGCATCTGTGACGAATGACCACCAAGAAAGAAATCTGTGAGGTAAACGAGAACATGACCATTGTTTTATATGATGGAGATCATCAGATGTCGTCTGGTGGACCCATGTTTTCACATGCAAGACACGTTTCAGGATCTGATGCCCTGCACTGTTCATGGCAGTATAATCAGAGCCTTGAGTAGGTTTTTTTTTTTCCGATGACTACTGTATACATACATGATGATAATTTAGTTCAAAAAACAAGGACCACTGCATGCAGCTTCTTTTGGGTTCAAAAATATTGTATTTAACCATGGAGTTGCATGTGCTGTGGCGTGCTCAGCTCGCACCTCTATGCTTGCATGGAGCTTTGTGGATGGATGGATAGGACTTTGTTTTCTTCCCCACTCTATTCATGTTTTATCCATAGGAATATTATTGAATACAATACCAAATCTTCCATATCACCCATGGCGATCCTTCCTGGGAATGTGTAGTTTTCTTGGTGAAGCCGTCGATGATGAGTGCAAGGGGAGGCCGACGAGGATACATAGGGAGATCAGCAGGTCAATATATATTTAAAAGAGCAGCACAGTAACCCTTGATTAATTAACCACAGACTAATTCACCCTCACCCTCGTCTTAACGTGGCTAATAATTAAGAGCCTTGTGGCTGTGGGTGGTCGACCATTTTGGATGAGGACTGGAGCCGGCAAAGATGTCCAAAGACAAGAGAAAGCCAACAAAAGATTGGCAAAAGGGAAAGTTGCCAAAGTCGATTTCTTGATTTCTTTCTGTCCTGTCCAGCTAACTTTATAAATATCCGAATTATGTATGTTTACAAGCTTCGACCCACTTTTAACCTAATTGTAGCTACATGGATTAACACCTCAAGGTAAGTTGCCAAGGCAATTTCTGCTGGTCAAATATCTCTTTGGAGCGCCTTTGCATTGCGCCTTTATCAGCAAGCTGAAGATTCTACTGTTCTCTTTTTCACCCTGTTACTGTTGGTACTGTCAGGGAGCTCATTTTTGTAAGCTTTCTCTTCTTTATAAAATCTTTCTGTTTTTTTATCAAGAGAAAGAAAAAGGTAAAGCAATGCAGTGCGATGTTGCTGCCTCACGTCAAACTGCCTAAGTTCCATGGAGTACAAGGAAGGACAAAAGAAAGGAACAAGACATGAAAAGGGGGGTTGGGAGCTTGTTAAGCTGCCTGGCTGGCGTTGTTGTTGAACGCCTTTGAAGTCAAATGTTAATAAGTAGAAGATGATATTGAAGTCACTGCCTTGTGGATATATACCTAGCTAGAACAGGCAAAGCAAGGCACGTATTCTTGTATTTCTCGTTTCAAGAATACATAAATTCATTAAAAAACCATGCATATCTATTTTATATATCTGTTTTCACCCTTTTAATAAGATATATTTTTGTTTTTTTTCAATATTTATCCTCTTCATCTTGAGATACTAACTAAAAACAGTCTACATAGATGTTCACCGTACGATTTGCAAGAGGATTTCGTTAGCACATAAATGAAGGGCAGTACTAGAAGAAAGCATTCGCAAGAGGAAGGTATTTCTATTTGCTGGGATTGATATTGAATTGCAATCAATTCATTTACCAACTTGTATTTATCATAATCAATGAGAATTTCATGGTCACTAACTAGGACCTCATGATCACACATACAGATGTGAGAGATTCCTGTGACGTGTAGCCCTAATGAAGAACTAGCTAGGGATTAATTACAGTAAAGGTGGTCTTCTCCCTCCTCAATGGATTGTTTATTGGAGCGAACACATGGAGGCAGAAATATTGACAAGAATTGGAATCAAGATCTCTTCTCAAAAGATGCTGTAATTCATTTGATTAAGCACAAGTGCACTAATTCTCTCCCTCCTTGTGCTCTCGCTCATACACGAGTGATCTACATGGGATGCCTTGTCCCATCAGAACATGGACAGTATATATTTAGGGCCCTGCCTGGCTTCTGCTGGCACAGCTCGGTAATTTCCGGTGCTAATTAACTAGTTTGCTTTCTCTGAAGAGAAATAAATAAAAATAAAAGGGTTCCTCTTGACAACCTTAAATTCGATAATCCCCACCTCGTAATCAAGCCTTCAATGCAATACTATTTCAATCTCTTGTTTGGGCCACCACATCACCGGGTGATTGAGGAACACAGCCACCCTCTCCCCACACCCCCTCTATCATCATCCCCCGTCATTAAGGTTATTAATCTCATCACGGCACGTCATTTAGTCCAGGATTACATGAATTAACTTGAATTAATTTAAAACAATGTTCTTTCAAGATTTTTTAAAAGAAATATCAATTTTTAATTTTATCAGATTAATTCTTAATTTATTTAATATAAAATATAGTACACATTAAATTCTAAATCAATAAGTTATTAAATTGGTTCACCGACTTGTTCCATGTTTAATAACACCACCCAACATTCTCATCCAACCATTGGTCCATCTCCCAGGATTTTATTTGTCTATTTGCAACCAAAGCTAATACCCCTTTTAGGCGATGAACAACTACTCTCTCTCTCTCTCTCTCTTCTTGACCATCCCCCGTCCTTGAAGCTATTTGACTTTATGTTTCGTTACAAGACTTGGGTTATTGATCAGCACAAATTAACTATAATTTACTTGAATTAATTTAAAATAATATTATTTTAATATTTTAGATAAATTTCAAAATGAATTAAGTTTTAACCGACCAACTCCTATTTAATTTAATTTAATTTAATATATTGATCGGATTATATCCTAGCTAGATGAACAAATAACTAAATTAACTCACCAACTCGGACAATATTTACTAACAACACCAAACTTTCACTGCCATCCGACCATTGGTCCATTTCCCATGATGTTATTTGTCTATGTTAAACCAAAGCTAATACCCATTTTAGGTAACAAGCAATCCTAATGTCGGCATAAATGATGCTACTCCTACTTTGTATTTGGGTCAAATATTTTCCCATACGACTCTAATTGTTTTCTTTTTTATTTAAAATAAAAAACCACAGGAAAGACAACATCATGGCTCAACCCATGTGGGATTCATTCTCTCTACAAATGTTCAAACCCTGTTTGCTGTTCTCTGGCCTGCTGTGTCCTTGCCCAGATTGCTGCTGTTTTCTTGATTAATTTTGATTCCTGAATTATTACAACAAACCAAACAAATTTAATATCTAAATAATCAAAATTAATTAATCAACATCACTTCTACCCTAAAACCCCTCCTCTTTATATATATATATATATAAAAAAAAAAAAAAGAGAGGAGGAAAGCCTTGCATAACAAGAACACGATATTCCTCATCGTAGTGTGATCTTTAAGTGTACAAAATATGCCTACTTTTTTTGTTAAATATATTATCCCACTTGTGATCTTTATCACATTTCTCTCCATACAATATTCCCTTTTCCTGTGCGTTATGACTTTGTAATCTTTTTTATATATACATAATAAGGGTCCATTAATTATATATTTCACGACACCTTTATTTAGATAGGAACTTAATATATTTTCACAAGTAAAAAGTAATTAAACGTAGATATGTTATATGCAAAAACGCATCTGTAATCAATTTAATTAATGAAGATACCCTCTTTGCAAAAATAAGAATAGATCTTTATGAATTAAGTTTTATATTATTAATTCCAATCCAAAATAAATATTTAAATTCTACCCTAATTGAACATGAATTTTTATATTTAAATTTAATAGAATAGGGTTTGCATTTATAACCTGAACCTAGAAATTATAATTTATAATTATTTAGTACTTTACTAGCTTGATATGCATTTAATTCTTTTTAATTTTTAATTTATTTATTTATTTATTTCGAGTTAGATCTGATAAATTAATATTCATATCCAACTCCTAACCCGACGTTTTACCTTTAATTTTAACTCCGATATAATTTGGTTAAAAGATACTCTTACTCGTTCAATTAGGTTTGGGTCCGCATCCGTCAGCTTCGGTGAAATTGCCTTTACACAGATTGAAATGAGGAGAACACAAAAATCCATCCACCCTTCATTTTCTCTCCAAAAAAACACCAATCAAATTATTGTATTCCTATCTGTATAAAATATAGAAAAACTCTAGCTTTGTAGCTTTACTTTGACTCTCTCTCTCTCTGGCTTCTAGTCCACCAGAAACAGAGTTTCAGCTTCTTCCTTCTTTTTCTTTCTTCAGACAAGCTTGTTTAGGCTAAAGGAGCTCTCTGTCTACAGTGCTTTTATTGCTAAAGTTCAAATCTTCTTTCAGCTTTCCTGATCTTTCAAGCTAGGTACTTTGTTCCACTGCTCATCTCTCATTTTCTTTAATGGGTTTTTCATTTTATTTTTTTTGCTCTTTTTTTCATCCGGGTTTCCGCTGTTGGCTTGGATCTATTGTGGGGTTTGGCTAAGATTAGTGATTTTGTGATCAAGATCTGAACTTTGCTTAAATAACATTTGATCATGCTGTTTTACTGGCCTTGTTTGAGAATGCATTATGTTAGTTGCTGACTTGATTGGTTTATTCTCTACTCTCTTTTTTTGCGGTCCTTGAATCCTTTATGCTTGTTTTTCATTTTTTTTCTTTTTGATGGTCCTGGTTTTTGTGCTCCTTTTTGCTGAGAAACGATTGCATGTTGAGTTGGTTTTGCTAGCTTTGAAGTTTTATTCTTGTTCTACTTTCTCTTCAGTGTCATCTAATCAAACTATGGGTGCTGCTTTTTTATTGAATCTTCTTCTTCCAGGGAAATAATTAATTTTATTCTGATTTATTTTTTAGGTTTGTGTCTGTGTTTTTTTCTTGAAAGTTTGTGTTTTGACCTAATTTAGGTAGACGTAAGTGCCCTAGTAGATAATGTGTAGGTGGTCTTTTTCTGATCTGACTTGTGATGCAGTGCTTAGGCCAAATGAAATTAGAGTTAGTTATGCTATCATTTTTATATTGGTATTCTTCCATCTTACTTATATTTCGTACCATAATGTCTTTTGGGTGTCTTCTATATGGTTATGCACCAAATCAGTGCCTTTTGGGTGTCATGAACCTCTATAAATATGCATCTATATTTTTTTCTTTTGCATAAGAGGTGGTTTTTAGGTTTTATGTTGCGCTTGATATGTACCTTATTCTAATGCTTTTGACAGAATAGTTGATGCTATTGGAAAAATTGGATAACAACATTGTTGGGGGGCTGCCAGTGGGCAGATATGATTCCAAGTTCTGGGTGCTGTAAAGTGGATTCATTCAATCTGATGTAGTTTTGGAACTTTGTTGTCTGATGGCCTCAAAAACTGGTAGCAAAGCATCCTCAAAACAGCACCAGAAAACAGCTGGTTGTCAAAGAGCGGATGTCACTGATCTCAGGCATTTGTCTTTGCAGGGCTCGAAGCCGAGCAAGCCCCAGCTGGTTAATCATGAGCAGGTGCAATCTTCAGTAGAAAATATGCCAAAGCAGGTTTTGTTAGAAGCTTCTGAAAATAAAAAGCTTCTGAATTCTAATCAAGAGGGGGCTTCTGATTCTTTGAGTGATAAGTTGGAATCAAATTCTTCCTTGCCCTGTCTTGAACAATCATCAGTTGAGGTGGATTCCATTGTCAATGAGACTAGAGGCTCACAGGATGTTTCTGTTGATCAAGAGAAGAAAATATCAGAATATGGAAGTGTGAAAAACAGCTCGGTATCTGCCAAAGTTAGTGATGGAACCAGCAGCCTGGCTAAGACGAGTGGAAGTGCCAAAATGAGTGACCGTGTTGATTATGCTGAGAGTGGCAAGAGGAGTTTGTGTAGAGGAAGCACCAGCAGCGATGTTAGTGATGAAAGCACTTGTAGTAGCTTTAGTAGTAGCATCAACAAACCTCACAAAGCAAATGACTTGA